TTCTAAATGATGTTTGTAGCAAATACTATTGAAATGACATCAAAATAAAAGGAAAATATTTTCCACAGCTACGTATTTTTAAAACCAAAAAGCGTTTAAAAGTTCTATAGTACGATACTTGTATAATGCGAATGTATAAAACATGAAGGTCAGTCTGTATGATCGGTTGGTTATTTTAGCGAAAGGAACCACGTGACAACAATCGTTACGTATTTCCGTCTTTTCAGTAGCATGTAATTTCGTTTTTTTTTTAAATAAAAATAAAATTAATCTGCGCTTTGAGCCGGAGCCCGGAACCACATGTTCTTTATTAAAATTTCTTGACTCCTGCTCTATTTTTTAGGGCTCAAATATTAATTTCTTCAGCTCTGTACTTGAAAGCTTTATGCTTTAAAACACAGTTGAATCTATCTCAAATATGTTTATCTCGAAAAACCTTTATCTCAAATTTTTCCCCTTATATTTTCAGCTTAAATTCAATATATTTTCCATTTTCTCCCAAAACATCTATCTCAAATTATGGACTGAAGTGTCGATTAAAAAATTCAAGCTCAGCGACTATATTTTGCTAGCATAAATTTTAGTTGAGAACCACTCTTGCAAAACAGCGCAGGAAATCTTCGTTTATTCGAATTCTGATAGTTCGAAATCCCGTTAGTTCGTAATTTTACTTTTGTTCTGGCCGGGGTTATAGAGATTTACATGTTAAGGAATTCGGTTAGTGAAATTCTGTCCGAACTGCGATATGCGTATATTAATTAACTCGTTTGTTTAGATCAGGCATGTCAAACTCATATGATAATACAAAATANCCAAACTGTATCATTGCGTACGCAAACATAACGATCGGCAAACAGTCGACCCATGGAATCGATCAAATTCGTTTGGAAATTTTTTCCTTTTTTACGTGTTACTGTTACGGTCGATTTGATCTGTAATGACTGGACTTTTGTATTTTCATTGTTCTATTTAAATAGAGTGGAAAATGATTTTGGAACTAATATACTTAATACGTTTCTGAAAAACAGATTAAGGTCAAAGGTAATATTTCCATCGGGTCAAAGTATTCGGTTAACCTTCATATGTCTTCCTTTTAAATGATTCCTTTTGTAAGACCTCTTTTCCCAGTGAGTAATTATTGCAAAGGATTCTTTCTGGTCGTTCTCTCATTATTTTTAAATGGTTTAGATTCGTTTGAATTTTTCATTCGTAGAGCATTAATTTGGAAAATATTTGTACTTTAAGCAGAAATGCCACTAAAAACAAATATTTCCATAAAACGAAGCATTTACCAATTAAGCTAATTGAATCAGGCAAGCATCTGGAAAGAAAAGAGGAAGAACATCGAAGTGACAATAAATTTTTATTTTTTACAACTTTTTAAATGCATGATCGCAAGTCATACATTGGTCTAGTATCATTCAATACGTTTGCTGATGACAATTTATTTCCACCAATAACTATTTTCTAATCTTTTAAAAACTCACTATTGGCCAACATAAAATTTTTTGACGTCAAAATCGGCTATCAGATTTCGTTGAACAGCAAATCGTGTAGCGTTCGCCCGTTTTAAATCGCTTTGTCTCCTTAAGCGTCAGGAAAATAGTTTTGTGTATTCAGACACAGAAAAATATCGAAAATTTGCAAGTTGAGAAAACCTTTGTTTATGCGTTGTTTAGACCATTTTACATGGAAATACTAATCTAAATATAGTTAAATCTACGAAAGCCAGAATTCCAAGAGATGGTGAACGTTACAGCGGAAACAGGTTTTCCGTCTTAGGCATTCTGGAACAAGAAAGTAATCATTGCTTAATTAAAAATGGTAATAAAAAAAAGTCCACAATTTTTTTTTTCTAAATGATGTTTGTAGCAAATACTATTGAAATGACATCAAAATAAAAGGAAAATATTTTCCACAGCTACGTATTTTTAAAACCAAAAAGCGTTTAAAAGTTCTATAGTACGATACTTGTATAATGCGAATGTATAAAACATGAAGGTCAGTCTGTATGATCGGTTGGTTATTTTAGCGAAAGGAACCACGTGACAACAATCGTTACGTATTTCCGTCTTTTCAGTAGCATGTAATTTCGTTTTTTTTAATAAAAATAAAATTAATCTGCGCTTTGAGCCCGGAACCACATGTTCTTTATTAAAATTTCTTGACTCCTGCTCTATTTTTTAGGGCTCAAATATTAATTTCTTCAGCTCTGTACTTGAAAGCTTTATGCTTTAAAACACAGTTGAATCTATCTCAAATATGTTTATCTCGAAAAACCTTTATCTCAAATTTTTCCCCTTATATTTTCAGCTTAAATTCAATATATTTTCCATTTTCTCCCAAAACATCTATCTCAAATTATGGACTGAAGTGTCGATTAAAAAATTCAAGCTCAGCGACTATATTTTGCTAGCATAAATTTTAGTTGAGAACCACTCTTGCAAAACAGCGCAGGAAATCTTCGTTTATTCGAATTCTGATAGTTCGAAATCCCGTTAGTTCGTAATTTTACTTTTGTTCTGGCCGGGGTTATAGAGATTTACATGTTAAGGAATTCGGTTAGTGAAATTCTGTCCGAACTGCGATATGCGTATATTAATTAACTCGTTTGTTTAGATCAGGCATGTCAAACTCATATAATACAAAATAGATCATGTGGTCTGTAATAAGTCGGGGGCCGCATGTTTTCAATGTTCAAAAAATTAATAAAATAATATAATGATTTTCAAAATCGTATGTATTTATTACACTCAATGTCAAGCACAATGTATTGTATATTATACATACATAGACATTTTATATTTCATGTTATTATTTAAACTTAAAATTTATAATCAACTATAATCAATCGATAATTATTAGCATAAATGGACAATATTTTAGAAGCTTTTAAATAATTAAAATATTAAATTATAACATGCAAATAAAATTAGTGTGTTTATTGGTAGGCCTATAAAACTATTATATAAGCTGGAAATTGTAAAATCTATTTTTCAAATCAGGTGCAGAGGATAAGGATGGTAAATAACTGGTTAATAATAGTTATTAATTACTTGTTCATTGGCATCTCATTATCTTTTTGACTTTGTCCGTTAATTATAGTTTGACACACAGTAAGAATAATGCTAAAATTATATATTGTTATATGTAATCAAAAATATCTATTTCTATTGTTTATATAAATTTTATATAAAGCTATAGAAATAAGTTACAAATATATTAAAATGAAAGTACATTATTCAAATCATTTTATTTTGAATAACTGCATTTAGTGTTTGTCTGGAGCATTGACCCTTGGCTCCTGAAATAAATTTATTGAAACTTATAATGCTGAAGATTTTTAATGCAATTTTAAGATTTCTATCATTAATTTTACGCTATTCAAGTCGTTTGGCTAACAACTGATAAGTGAAACTCGCCCAAATTCTTAGAGTTTTGTTTTCTTACCGGGTGTATAAAATGTCAGTGACGACGTAGGTTTATCGATGTTTACAGTCGTGGTAACAGTAGCACACACTCCATCGGCGAAAGTCTTTAATTATTGACACACATGCACCAGTAACTTTCGTTAAGAATAGAACGTGGTAAACTGTCAATTAAAATTATATGCATTAAACAAGATAGCCCGTTTAGACTCTGCAAACGTTTTGCCTTGCTTAGCTACATTACGTCTCCATTTTCCAGACTAAATGACGGCCACTACTGTTTTATGTTATACTGTTAAAATTCGTTATATAATAATTTAATAGCATTCGAATTATCATTAACTTTCAAGTAAGGGAAAAATAGAAAACGTAACAAAACCTCTATTTTAAGTTTTTGGAAAATCATTATTGGATGACAAATATATAAAGCAGTTTCTTTTTCGTTGAACAGAGTATAAATAAAACTTGTGTTATTTCACTGAAAATAGACTTAAACGCCATCTTAAATGGTCAACATTTTCGGTAATTGTTTTTATCGTATCGATGCATCGGTAAGAAGAGCGATGTCACAATTTTAAAATCGAAGCACACTATGGCCGAGAAACACGTACAGTACGTAAAATACAACATAAATGCGGACGAAAATGAAAAGCGTATAAAATATTTCCTTGTAGTTTCTGCCTAGCTGGAATACAAAATCGAGTAGAGAGCACGTTTCTTATATACAATTTTTTTTTTATTTAACTTGTAAGTGTAACCAATGTGTTTCCTGGAATAAGAATGGAGCCGATGTGCTGGATACTGAATATATCACTCTGCTCCCGTAGCTAAGCAACTAAGACATGGCGGCGGTTCTATTTTATTCAATTTTGTTGAATAAAACAGAATTTTTGAAATTTTATTCCATCATGTCATAGCTCTAATTACGTTGTGTGTCTTATTATAATAAATCTCACATTTATTGCAAAAATGTCGGAAATTTTAACAGTTTAAATATATATTAGAGAATTGTAAGATATGTTTTAAATAAATACGTTATGTTCTACTTCGTAATGAATACAACTACCTTCCTTCTCGTATGTAGACTAATAATCATACTCTCCCAGAATAAGAATGTAACTAATTTTTAACATATTTCACTATTATTCTTCAATATTGTTCGTGTGGATTATAGTAAGTGTAGTAAATGTATTCACGTGTTTACCAAACCATTTTCATACTTGTTAATGTCAATACTTTATTCTAATATCATTTAACTAAACTATTCCCTAAAATCCGTCATCGTATAAGAAAAAATAAGAATGAAATCGGCTCCAATGTTTTTATCAGATTTTCAGAATAGATATTTAAGCTTCCGTCTATGACAGGTCCCCCATTAATGCGAATTAACAAGTATAACTAATAGATTTCCGTTCGAATCTCAGATTCTTCCTTAGAAGGGCCACTTTGTGAGAAAAATTAACGGCGATGTCGAAATGAATGCAGTTTTTTGGCTTTTAATAGTTTCCGTCTTAAGATGGTTCCGTCCGTTGGAGTTTTACTATATTTGAAATTGAATAAAAATAATAAATATAGCTGGAAAATGTATTTTATTAATAAAAATGTTACGAAAGTATTTTAGTCACAAATTTCGGAACGAAATAAATACGTTTATGTAACAAAATAGGTCACTATAAAAACGACGGACATTCACCAACCACTTCACATCCGACTGCATACAAAAGTAAACTTTGATCTATTTCCTCTTCTACGTGTTCACATATAGACGAACGACGACTCTAGACTAAATTGTACCCAAACGATCGCAAATAACCGACCGTAGAAAAGTTAAGATTTTCGGAAACGGTGGCGACGTCGGGTAGCGCGTCCAACTTGGAGCGCGCGGGCGGTGTGTCGGAAACGGCGCGCGGGGAAGAGCTCCTCTATACCTGGACGCGGAGTATCGCGAAGAGGGCGAGAAGCGCGGATAAGGCCAAAGAAGCGTGCGCCGCGCATCCCGAGGCGCATTCGGGAGAGTCGTAGCGGTAATTGCGACAGTGGTTCTGTACCAGGAATCCTCCTGCCTTGATGACGATCTGTTCACCCAGGTCGGCCGCTTCCGCGTCGCACTTGGCCAAAACGGCGTTCCTAGTGCATTGTTTGTAGCCGTCGAACAAGCTGTGAAACAAGAGGAAAAAAAAGTCATTTACATTGCAATTCGTTCCAATTAAATAATATAAGCTAGTTTAATTTATAAAATTAGCTCCTTAAGTTATTTAAACTATAATATAGTAAATCCTATATAAACCTGAATTAAATGGTACAGGATAATTTTTCCCATTTTGGGTTGTTTCAGTTTCAAACAGATTTTAGTATTTTGTTTTACTTAATCTTCAAACTATCCAAAAAGATAGTTTGAAGATTAATTTCAAACTATCATTTCATCTTTTATAGTAAAATCACTTTTTTACATACGTAAAATTGTCTATTACTAAATTTAATCCAAATGATTCAAACTAAAGACAAGAGTATTCAAATTTAAGGATTCAAAACTGTTTAACCAAAAAAAATCGCTTTTGTTCCGAAGAACATGTTCTAGGTATTCGAATACTTCTTGAATACGATTCTGATCAGCTCACACGACCCCAACAGCACAATTCTAGTACCAAAATCTCGTGTTTACCAAATTCTAATCTGATTACAGTAGTGTAGAAATCAAGTTACTCTGTTATCTGGCTTTTCGAGTAATTTTAATATCCTAATTAATAGTTTACTTCGATCTCTATCAATATGTTAACCAACTTATTTTCGAATATTCGGCAGTAGTTACTAACTACTCTGTACAAGGCAATACCACGTTGTTCTCCTGAAAAACATAGTATTGCCAATTTTTACTTGTTCAATCTCATCCCAACAATCGTTGCTTGTTCTCAAGAACACAATTCTCGAAAACTCATTCAATTTTTGAACGTATTCGTTTCTACCCTGGTTAATTCCGACAAAAATTAATATTAAAGACCTTGTGTTCCCTTGTAACGTGAGGTTCGTTTCTCTAACAATATTCGAAATCGTTCTTGGAATAGTTTGTCACGCTCTGCGGTGACTATTATATATGGAGATGGAAAATCGTTCAGTTCCAAAGACTTTTTTCCTTTTAGACAACTTGTTTAAAACGCAACTCGAATAAAACAAGTTTTACTGTGTTTCTCAAAATAGGAGTGGAGTCGATATGTAGATTTAGGCTATCATTGCGCTGCAGTGACCAAACAATTCGAACACCACATCGTAGGATGTATGACGTTTATTTTGAATATCAAACTTCTTACATTGTCAGAAATATCAAATACATAACAGTTTAAAGATGTCTTCAAATTTTCTAATATAGGACCTATCCATATTACGATTACTTCCATAATAAACACGGAACTAATTTCCATTGCGTGTTTCCCTACATTAATGAATATCAGCTCATACTTTTAATGGGAAAGTCTATTATAATTTTAAATGTCGAAATGAAAAATTAATCTAAACGTGGAAAATCTATTCTCTATTTGATATTTAATAATAGACTCGACTGGCATCATTTTTATTCGGGCAACCAATATAAAGATGTCACACATTTAGGAAAAGACAGAATAATTTCATTTTATTTAAAAGACACTCTTTCCAATCTGATTATGTTTTGTTCGAAGAATTTTCGACATTTATATATTTTTTATAAACTTTTTGGAATGCTCTTTTTAAAATCGATTTAAAAAATAATTTATAAAAATCATTTCGAATATAAAATTTATTTCGAAAAATGTTCCTTTTATTTGTTTATTTTTTTTTAATTTGTTAAGCTTTGGTGAAATTGAATTTCCGATTCGATTTTGGACTTGAAAACCGGAATAATTCAAAGTATCGCTCCTTCGATTTCCTCCCTTCTAAAATGGTACTCTTTCACTACATTATAATTCATTACACACGTTTTCGAGAATGGAAATTCTCACCCGACGTTTTTCGTGAAAAGCGTTACCTTAAACGGGTTAAATTCTACCGCCATCAAAACAGTTCATGAAATTCAATTGCCAAAATACGGAAAAACAGTTGAACGGAGGGGAAAAAACATTTAAATAATAACGAGAAAACTTTAAATTATTAAATAAGTTTTTTAAAAACATCAGAAATTTAATGGGTTATTTCAAATGTTTTTCGTAACTTTGGAAAATGAGATATTATTCTCTGGATTTCTTTTGGCGATGCTATGGATTTCCAGATTATTGTACGAAATATGAAACCAATCAATCATGTTGAATTTCTCAATTACGTAACATACTTATAACTTATATGTAATTACATAAAGAATTTATGCGATTGAAATAACCGCTGCGAAATACTCGTGTTAAACGAATAAGTAAATGTCGCATCGAGAAAATTATCTATTTGTTTGATGTAATATTTCAAGTTAAAATAAAAATGTGTAATTTTTTTTAGAATTTCTCGTATTCGTAGTTTGGGAGTAGGGCATACCGACCATAACAACAAGAATTTATTGTAAAATTGAAGTAAAACTTTGCAGTGTAAGTAAACAAATACGGTTTTTTCCTTCAAAGGAATATCGTTTTTCTTCGTGATTTCTGAAAAATTATGCAAATTTCGAAAAAATCTTTGTAAAACTACCATTCCATTTCCTTTCGCTTATATGAACTTCATCGATTTTCTCGAAAGATCGCTTTCTTCGAAAAACAACTAACTCTAATCTGACGTAGACAAAATTGCGTGAAAAATGGAAAATATCTGATTGGAAACGTGTCGTCTGGAGAAGTGAATCAGCGTTTTTCTATCACGTGTCGTCTTAGGCGTTTGGATTTATCACATTCCCGTCTTTGTATGGGTAGCCAACGGAAAAATGCAATCTACCAGGATTATGGGAAGTATTTTCTGCTTTCTTTTTTCCTTTGTAACACGAATAGGTAATTTTGGATCTTCCGCGACGCTGTAAATTCTTAAGTTTATTAAAATTTATCTTACTCGTTAGAGTTTGCCGAACCATTAAGAATATAATAATTAGATGCAGTTTTTACAGTTGCAAAAAGAACTTCATGATTTCTCCAGTTATCATAGTTTGTCTTTTTATAAAATAATACAATGTTTTATTGTGGACACCAAACAATAGAAAATCGAGTTGAAATTATTAATTTGAATTTTAATTATTTCCGTCAATAATAATAATATAGAATATTTTTACGGTAATTTTTTTAATCTCATTTCATAAACAGAGAAAGATTTTATAAAGGTTGAAACTAAATCGATTATTTTATAATAAGGATGCGCATATTAAGAGTTATCTGCTAGAAGTGTAGCTTACTAAAAGTTATGAAACAGAAAAATTAGTTTTCTAGATCCTTTATCTTCGTAAACAATACGATACAAAAGAGTAGGATTTGAGGGCAAAAGAAATTGAGGAAAGTAAGCTACACACGAATCGAGGGGAGAGATGGACCAATATCAATGCTATATATAGACTTTGTAAGATTAATCTAAAACAGAACCTGATGGAATTGTTGGTTGTCGATCTCTCGGACGGAAAATGACACGTAAAACAAGATTCGTATAGTATATAAACACTCCAAAAGATATAAAACCAGCATTTAAAAAATTTTTAAATCGAATAAATCGTGACGAATTACAAATTCGTTTCGTTTAACGCAAAAACGCGTTTAAAATATTAAGTCTATAAGAAAAGGAATTAAAATCTACAGAATATATACAGAACCTATTCAACGAATTTGTATCTGTATGGAAAGTTTTGAATGTTTAGAGCTTGTTAAAAGCTCAAAACATTCAAAACTTAGATACAACTTATATAATATGGTGCATTAATCGATCAATTAAATCATATTTTAGTATTTAACTTTACTATTATTTAAGCGCACGATTTTTTACACCTTTAATTCCCAGCAATTTTTGATATTAATGTAATTAAACATAAAAAATACTTAAAACTGAAAAAAACGAAAGAAATGCGTTAATTTTGAAGAAAAAGCTTTAAACTTTATTTTCCTTTGTCTCGCCTTTCTGCGAAATTTGACACCGACGAGTCATTGTTTACACAGCTGGATGACCTTGAACTTAGCTGGAGTTGGATTTCCCGGGACACTCTCATAGAAGTCTCGGGAGGCGATGGGTTTATAGTAGGGTGAATACTAGCTGGCCGTATATTTTTAAATATTTTTTAAAAATTAAAATTTTAATTGCGATTTCCGACCCCGACTTAATTAAACGTATATATAATAAAATCTATTAATTAAAAAAATTAAAACTATTAGAGGTGGTTTTTGACATCAGAAACTAGCTTTAAGTAACATTACCGAAGGAAAATCCGTGCACTACAACTTTAGAACGATGAATTAAATTTGATTAAAAAAATCTCATTAAAAACAATTAAGCGTTAATCGTGCGTCATTAAAGGTAGATTAAAATCGCGATAAAATTTTTTCGCGCGGGAAAAAATTTTTGAAAAAATTTGGAGACAAAAAACATTCCAAAAATTCAAAAAAAAAACAAATTTTTGGGGGGCCGAAAGGACCGAGTTTTATGTAACGCTATGGAACCTTCCCGAGTTAACTCGGGCGAAGAACTAAATTATTAAAGAAGAGGGTTTCACAATATTTATATTTTAATTGATTTACGGTATCCAAATGCCAAAGTACTGCTAAACATCGATGTATTTATTGGATGTTAGTCGACATTAATCGATATCTTAATTAGATGGATAAATGTAGTTAAAATGAGATTTATTTAGTTAATGACGTAATTTATCGATAATTTATATTTAGACTCTTTTCTAATGCTAGAAATAACTACGACGTAGTTTTATGCAAATTAAACTCCTAGGTGTTGCGTTTAAACAAGAAAACCTTCACAATTTCCGACAAAAAGTAAAATAATCAGCTTTGTAAAAGCGTCGGGTATTTTTATCTTTTATGAAGCCACATCATACAATGCTGTTATGTAACATTTGAAAAGAAAATATAGAATGTGTTTTCGTTTTTCCTTCTGTTCTATATTCTTTCTTATTTGAGATCTAGACTTCGTGATTATTGTTTTTGCATTTCTGTAGTTCGAATATTTTTTAGGTATTATCTAAAATTATAATTTAAATTAAAATATCTGTTATCCACCTCAAATTAGTACAGTAGTGTCTTGCCCCTTTACGTCATACTTTTCCTTTAACAGAGCCGTGCCATCTACTAACTTCTTTCAGAAAAAGTTTTGAATTGAAATAATGTGATTTCCGATGCGGACCGGAAGTTCGTATTTAGTTGATCAGTTATTCGGGGCCTCCTGTCCTTAAGATTTCCATGTCTGGTCTTTAATTTCATTTATCTAACACCGTTCTCGCGATTAAGGAAAGACAGGCGGGCGGACAGACGGACGATAGGGAATTTATAGGTCTACATTTTTTTTTTTTTTAATTGCAACCCAATCAGATCAAATTTTGTTAACTATTATTGGTTTCTAATTATTCCGTAGAAAGATGTCACGCAAAATTGAAGAAATTAATACAAAATAAAAAAAATATTAATACAATATTAAAGACAAAGCATAATATTAAATAGTTAAAAGTAAATGAAGCAAAATGGAACGAAGGAAAGTGATGACCGATGCAACGGAAGTAACGCGTGAGATTGTTGGATGAGAATTCATCCTTAGGATAATTAATCATACAAACGAGACTGAATTTTGCATGAAAAGAAATACGTATTTATATCCAACAAAAACAGATGCTTTTATTCAATCTGACATAAAATATTGTTAAGTATTCATCCATTCGTTAATAATAGAGCATATCGTAAACAAATTATCTTCCAACAATAATACAAAAATTGTTGTGGTAGGTCACTCGAAACTATTCCTTTTTTTTATTTTTTATTTTTTACAACTATAATTTTAAATTATATTTTCAGAAAAAAAATAATAGATGTTCTAATTTGTAATCAGAATGTGAAAATTTTGGAGAGAGAGCACGGAAAAAAGGCCATACGAAATTATGTGACAATTTATAGACGTTTCCTTGAGATCATTTTACGAAAAATAAGTGCATTTCACTTTCTATAATTCTATAGAGTATAGATTTAACAAATTTCAATTTTAGAATTAGAAGGTATTAGGCCTACATCTTAAAAATATAAGATTTGCAGGAAAGATTTATAATTAAAGCGATTAAACTCGCGTTCCAAATTTTAAAACTGGAACGACTTTTATATAATTTAATGATTACGCTTTTGTGTCTGGATAAAATTCTTGACAGCAAAAATTGCTGTTTGCGAGCAACGGTGCATAGAAAAATGTATTATTTCAGGTTTTTACTATTATTTCTGATTTGACCGACTAACATACGATTTTTGATCTTCCTTCTTTAGGAAGCTAAAATTTATTCTTTATATTTGTATGTAAATATGTGTATACTTTATATATGTAAGTAGGGTCTAGGAAGTCAAACATATGAAAGTTATAAATAATAAATTTGAAAGTTTAGAAAAACATATTTAAAATTTTACCGGGTAAAAACAAGTATTTCAAAAACATTTGTTTTAATAGGAACAAATAGTATAAAGAAAATATCGATGTATTTTATTATTTAAAAGACGACGACCAAGTACTTACCAGCAAGACTTTCTCAGTTGTTCTTCTTCTGGAAGTTCTTGTGTTTTCATGACTTCTTGCTGTCTAATGTAATCTTCGGAACATTTTTTATAGTCTGCAGATAGCTGTTTGTAACAACCGGCATGCTTCAGATATTCTAAACACGATAAAAGGAATATATTACGTTTATTGCATTATATACTTCCTGAAATTTAATTTAAAGAAAAAAACTGTTAAAATCCGCAATATTTTAAGAAACTTCGAATTTTATTCAATTTAGACTTAGGTCGGTAAAGAATAAGATAATAAATACAATCGAGTTGCACTTTTTAAATCTTCCGGAAACAATTTTCAAAATGGCCTTTTAAGGCGATATGTGTAAACGATAAAATTGATTTAGTTTCATCTTAAATTGTCTATCGATAGGGACAGAAAACATTTTTAATATCTAAACGAATGACGTTTAAGTTGCGGATAAAGTAACGCAAAGAATACTTTAAAAAAACAAAAAAATGCACTGTAAGGAAAATTTATTTCTTTTGCTCGATAGAAAGTATCTAACGAAGTTAAAAGCGCGAGAGATATAAATTTACTTTTTCGAAATTCCGATCCATCGGTGCACAAATCTGATAAAAGTTGTTGCGCTCCTCTGGTCAACGTCTGATAAATTTGTTGTTGTTCCGCATCGAAACATCTTTCTGTAAAACGATTAACGCAGACCATCGCTTCTTGTAAGTGTCTGTAAAACAAACGAAACATTCAAACACTCGTTAAAAACTAATCTAACGGAAGTTTCTTTTACAAATAAACATCTTTCCAACCATAAATGAGCGGGTGTATGACCCGCTCATTTATGGTTGGAAAGATTACTTTCTACTTTCGTTATCTGAAACATTCATTACATACCCCACACACTATTTTTCAGAGAACTTTACTTTAACCAAAAATTCGTGGAATTATAGATAAATAGAACATTATACGATGTACGGAAATCGATAATAGAGACAAGAAGATAATTTGGCCGGCATTAGCTTTTATTATATAAAAACCAAAACGAGAAATAACATTAAGAGAAATCGTGACTCATCGCCTCGACCGATATTTTCACCTCCTTTTTCTCTAATCCTATTTTTCTCCCGCGGGCAGTGAATAAAATTCATTTTCGCTTTAGTCTCGGACAAGCCGTTTGATGTCGACTTCATTCTCTCAACACTCAATTTCCATAGGCAATAAATTCAATAATAAGCCGCCGGACGACGTCAGAGAAAATGTGCCCCGTATTAAAATTCCATAAAAGGCATCTGGACCACTTTCTAAATCAAAATCTGTGTTTTTCTCAACCATTTATCTCAGTCTTTTGTCGTCGTCGACGCAATTTCCAGATGTAAAAAAAAGAGAAAATCGATGAATAATCTAAAAGCAATTAAGAAAACAATACGTTATAATGAACCAGATTCATCATTTCTGTAATAATAATAGAAGAAAAATACAACTCTTTAAAGTTGAGTAACAAGTCTAATTAAATACATTTATAAATTGACAGATATGTTACAAAAGATTATTATTATTAACAATAATGATGATGATGCACGAATATCTATACAAAAATTTTAAATAAATCTGACTTATAAATGTCATCTTCTTAGCTCCTAGGAAGATATTAATAAAACAGATTTAATCTCATTTAAATGTTCCAGAATGTAACAATGCGCATTTTAAACTTAATAATTTACATCCCGTAAATATGATGTGGGAAAATAGAAATAGTTGGACGAGATGAGAAAAGTTTATTTGACAAAAGTTACTGAAACGAGGATTGTGACCAGGAATGTTTTTTAAAGGATAAACATCATTCTTTTCAAGTTCCGTGTTGTCGTACTCCGCCGTAAAATGCAATATAAGTAACCTATATATACGTCAACAAATGAACCTCTATAAAAAAAACACTAAAAATTCGACTGAATTTTTCCGGAATTATCAGCCAAAAAAATTATAATTAAGTGTCTTTTTTTTAAACGTTATAATGACAAATTGCCGAACTCGTCATGCCAATTTTTACTTAATTGCTCTCTCGTTCATCGTTCTATTACATCATAACCTTATTTAAATAGATAAATTACTGTTAAGTTGTTTCTTAGAATATTTTATTTTCAGTAATTACAGTCCAAGAAGTTAGAATTTGTCATAAACGGGAAGAGTTTATTCCGCCCAAGGTGACTTTCGGCCAAAGTCGAGTTTCAATCAAAGTTTACATTTTAGAGTCAAAGTTGAAACGAGAACATCTCGCGTGATTTGAAAGAATTCTTAACGCAGTGTAGATTTATTGTGTTTTGTCGAAAGGTTTCGAAACCAAAATATTTTATAAAAGCGATCCTTAAATTACTGACAGTGAGTTATCAAATTCTTCATTCTTCAGCTTCGTTCGGATAATTTAATAGCGTGGCGGTGACGTAAAGTTTTAAATTGATATACAAACGCTCAATGTTAGAAATATAAAAGGAATTCTTTTTGAAAATGTAAATTTTTTATAAAGATTTTCTCAATTTTTTCAATTTCAATTTGGAATTTACGATCTTCGCTAGATATTTTTTTAGAAAAGTACGGTCATTGACAATCGTTTATAAACTATACGTGGTCGAGTTAAATTAGAATGGGATTTCAAAGATACATTCTGTAAAAATTAATGATTCTTTTTTATGGACGTTCGGTAAAAATTTTTATGGGCGTTTGATTGAAATTTAATCAGTTTCTCGCCGAAAAGAAAATGTCGCCAGCAACGAAAAGATCTCCACCACTTGCTTCCGATACGAAATCGATAATAGATCCATTAATGGCGTGGACCAACGATTCGCGACTAACACACGATTCTCTTCAGAAAATCAAACGAATAAAAAAATCGTCGACTTTTCACTCGTTTATCGATCTTCGTTAATCTAAGAATTTCGACGAAACAGCACAAAAAATATAGTTTAGAAATTGTTTACGTTTGATATCTGTCGAATTAATGACAGAAAAAGAACAATTTAATTAATGAAACTTCCAAAACCTTTCGTCTAGTAATCGGTTTTATCCCAAAATGCGTTTTTTTAATTAAGCGTAATTCTTTTGTATTTTGGAATAGATCGAAATGAACAAACAATAAAATGACAAAAAATAACTTCAAATTTCCCATCCGACCTGACTGGAGAGATAGACAATTCCCGTCGAATCGAGACTTTAATCATTAAAAATACGGTCCGTTTCATTCAAAACGACTTCTGTACTTAGAAAATCGATACGGGCTTTGTTATTTCTTAACAATTTAAATGAAAATCATTTCAGTTACTTTTAATTAAAAATTCTAAAAATGTTCTAAGAATATCGAAGAAACATAACTAATCGTTGTTCATTTCCTTCTCAAACGGAATAAATTCGGCACTCTTAGGGCAATCACAATATTGCACGATTATTAATTTTATAGGGCACCAATTGCACGATTATTACATTTATTAAAACAAGGCTAATAATCTATTTAGACGGTGGGCGATCCTCGACTTTCGATAAATCATTTCCGAGAAGGATCGATTGCGCGGCTTGGATTTCCAAACATCCTTTAAATTAAGCATCTGGCGCAGCATCAGAAGAGCAGTTACGACAAATACTCCTTCAGGAGTCGTCAACGACATCCATTCTATCGTTTTCTAATAATCCAGTTTCTCGGTTCCTACATTAAAGCATCGAGAAACGTCGTTTTAAACGCGACCAACAAGTAAATACTTTCATACATAGTCCCCATATTAATACCAAAGTAAAATTTGTTGAAAAACGAAACGATTTCGTGCGTATGTTAAAAATTATTTACAAGTTTTCACAAAAGTATGATAGATTTGTTCCTCTTTCAATTCCATATTTTAGATTCGATGTACCCGCGAATAAATAGTCTAAATTAAAACATGTAAAAAGTGTGGAATTGATCTTATTTCAAATTTCGTTTCGTTCAAGAGAGCAAATTTATATACTTAAATCAAAAAAAAAAAAAATAGTATTTTCGTAATCGATTGCCACAGGCCTAACTTCTGATTAAATTTGAAAGGAAAATAACCGATTGGGTACTCGAATAAAGAGAAAATTGAGTTAACACCAAAAGACAATCTTGGCTTGTCTATTTTTCAGATTTTTTATCGATTCACAATGTCCAAGGTGTTTTCTAAGCGAACTGGGCACGATCGATGTTCGACCATATGGCTCTTTGCTAGGGAGATGGATCCGATCCAATCCTCTTCCTCCCCAAAAATGATTCATTAAAAAGATTCCATAGTCTTACAAGATAGTCCAAACTTTCGTCCCTACCGAGATAATTCGTTTTTTCATCTCATCGATTCGACTTATAATTTTGGAAGATATCTTACCAAACGTCTAACCGCAATTCCATTCGATTCGAAATGAAGTAACGTTATTCCTGAATGATGTTGGTCAGTCAAATTAACTAATTTTGGTTAGTTAATTTGACTAAAAAAGATTTAAGTAATATTCGAGATACGATATCAATCGATACAGACATTAATAGGGCAGGGACGGGGCTAACACTTTCCGACCAATCGCTATTAATAATGTGACGAAACCGAAGCAGAACGATTATTTTATCGAAAATCGATAGGAATGGAGCCAGAATTTGACAAAGAATTTCTCCTTCCATTAATATTAGAGATTAGAAGACGACTTTATTCTTGAAGGCGATAAAAAAACTAAAACCAGTTTCCTAAACTGAAAAATTTTACAAGTAGTCGTTATTTTACCCATAACGAACGTAATTGATATTAAAGTCAAAATGCCATCAAAGATGTTAAAAAGACGACAGGTATCAACGTGTATATTTAATAAATGTAGAGAGGATGCGGTTCGTCTTCGGCAAAATCTTCCTTTTTTTATTGTCACACCAGTTTTTATCGCCTCTTGTTATCCCGCATTGACTGACAGCACTGATTAACCGTATCGTAAATTTTCCCAATTTTATAAAAGATAAATGTAAGTAAAAAACTCTTATTTCATTCTTTCTTCAATGTGTATGCTAACAAATAAAAAAAATTATTTAAAATCCTGTAGGAAAACGATCAAAATTGAAATAACTGAAGACCGAATTTCGGATTACCTGAAGGGCTTTTGTACAAAGAATAAAAATCGATTAATCAATACGTACATTTTTAATAAAGTTTTTATCAGTTAAATAATTTTCGAATCGATTTGAATTAAAGAAGAAGAGGACGGAGCCAAACGTTGGTTTCTTTCTTACCCGGATACGGTTAATGCGGCCGTTAGTTGGCATCCCTATGTTACGGGAGCGAGTAAGGAGAACGGCCAACGTAAGCAAGATGGAAACTAAGTATCGATCTCGGTTCTCCTTTCGTGTTTTTCTCGCTCTCTAGTGGAATCTCCGAGGCTTTCGCGTCTTTCAAAAGCAAAACCTAACTCCACTTTCCCTGTACATTAACACCTTATCCAATTCGCTAGGTTAGCATCTATTCTCGTTCCATCACTTCACCATTAGATGTATTTGTTAAGCTTTCGCCTTGTGTAATCTTCTAACCACATCGATTCTTCTGAATTTAAATAAAATTTTCCTCCTTAAAAATGTCCACCTTTATCGCTACCTTAAATCTTGTGTTTTTAAAATAGCGATAAAATTATATTTAACTTGAACATCGAATAATTTTTATAAACAATATCTAAATAAATACATATAAATATTTTAGATTTTAAGAA